ATTTTCTTCCATCCAGTCATTAAATTTTTCTATGCTGGCTCCAGGTGCTCTATAAATACAGCTTATTACAACATTTTTCTTTTTTTTCGCGAGTATTTCATTTTCTCCACTTTCTTATAACTAAAGTTTTTATCTATGTACAAGGCCACACCACCTCCCATCTTATTCTCTCTGTTTGTGCATACCAAGTCATAGCCATCAAGGTCAAAATCCATTCCCCTTACATTATTCATCCAAGTTTCAGAAATAGCAATTATATTAAAAGAATGTGTAAGACTACTAAGATAATGTTTTATACTCTGAAAGTTTGCGTATAAACTTCTGCTATTGAAGTGAATTAATGATAATTTGTTTTCAGTCTTAACATTGCTGTTAAACTGCTCATCCGTGTAATACTTGCAGTTATTTTCAGAGTTCTTAAAAAAGTTTTTTTCAGGGTCAAAGTCATCGTCCGATTCATGATAATGTTGTTCAGTGTCTCCAATTGTGTTCAGTTCCAGATCCAATCCCTCAAAAACTATTAACCTCTGTAGCAAATCACTTGCCTCATTCCGTACGTGGGTCATACTTGTTGTTGGTTCCTGCTAATTGTTGGTTCCAACGCTCATCTGCCCTCGCAGATATCAATATACCTGCGTGTTTCTTCATACAGCTGAGGGTCCAGTAACCCCTTCATACTCTCCTTGTCTTGGCATACTGGTCCTCGGCGTGCTGGTCATAGGTCCTGGATTCTGGTTCTGAGGTCGGGTCACTAGTCGGTCATACCGCAGGAACGCGATGTCCCCCCTCGCCCTGGCCTCCCTTAACATCGGCATCAACTCCCTTCTTCTCTTCCTCACAGACTCGGTGCAATCTTCATTTATATAAATATTAGATCCTTTAAGCTTCTTTGCTTGGTGCAGTATGTGTGCCTTATCCTTTGTCTTTTGTAAGCAAACTAAAGTAAGCAAAGTGTGTGAAATGTTCGGTCATCCAACAAGCACTTTAACTGAAGTTAACCTTAAGTGCCGCGCTCAAGGAAACCTCAGTGGCAGTAATGATTTATGTCATTTGTTTTAAGTCATAATTGCAACTGGGAAACAGATGTTTCTGAATGCTCTGGTTTGTGACTTCATGATACAGAGGTGCATGAAAACCAAACAAACACAAGTGCCTCTTGTCAGCCATAGTCTGTTGCTCAGTGGTATTAAACACAAAATTAGTGAATATTGTGTTATACTGTCAGCCCTAACATGGCCAACTCTGCTGTTACAGAGACATCTTAAGCTATCCAATGATGTGAGCACTTGGATACTGTAAACATGAGAATCTGTCACACAGTTCAGCAGAGAAGCCCCACTGGAGCATTTGAGGGCCATCTCCTTTGCTCAAAGGCATCACAGCACATATAAACACTTGGCTTTCTTCTCCAGGTTTTCCCAGTCAATCAAGTGACTGAAACAAACATTACTGCCAGTGGTCTAACCTCTTGGGAGGTCAGGCGCAGCTCTATCACAGTCAGCTTTCCTGGTAAAACACTTTGTATGTGAAGCTTAACTGAAAATGTTCAAATTAGCGTGTGTGTGTGTGTGTGTGTGTTTAGTCTTCTTTCTATTCATCCATAATAAATGGTTGAGGATACCAGTCTGTTTATCTGCCTTCAGATGGATCCATTTAGTGCCATTTAGTCCAGAATTAAAAAAAAGACAATTTAGAGAGAGTGAAATAATGTATTACAGTAAAAATGATGTTTTAATTTAGTTATGTCAAGGTTTCTATTTGATCCTTATATAATTCGCAACAGACAACACTCTCCCAAGCATTGCATCACCGTGTGAACTCTTGCTTATAGACAATCTGAGCTTGACAGTTCATTACTGACTGTAGAAATAGCAGGTGATAAAACAATCTTTTGCTCAGTTGCCACAGAAAAAGAGTCTAGCCCAATAAAAAAGTCAAAAGTATAAAAGTAGTTATGACCTCTGCTAAGGAGCTTATGTTTTTGTTTAGTATTTGGTGGTCATGTTCACTCACTTACCATAGCATGTTAGCATGCTACAGTAGTATGTGCTAATTAGCCTAAAACACAAAGTAAAGCTGATGCTAATGTAATTAGTCAAAATGGACAAACTACTGTAAATCGACTTACTGGTGACAGGAATCATTAGAAATAATTTCCTGGGTACCATGAATGTCTACAAAATTTCATGGCAAATCATGCAGTAATGTAGTTGCTGAGCTATTTCAGTATGGACCGAAGTGATGGATCTGAAATAGAAGAAAATCCATTAAAATAGATATTTAGATATTATATGAACTTTGCTCTCACAGCTGTATATTTTGTAGCTTAGCTAAGACAACAGACTGACACCAAAAGCAAAAAAAAAATCTAATTGGGACGTGTGTTAGAAAGTGATGAAAACGTAAAATAAATATACAGTAAATGGTGAAAATACCACAGGTTTTCTCCTTCATGTCTGACAACAACCAGCAGACTGTGGCTTTATATGCTAAACCATGTGAGTTCTGCCACAAATTGCAGCAGTTTTACAGTATTTCCTCCTCTGGATTCAGCTGTTACTGTATGAAATGTGCACCCAGTGACCCAACCTTGCATTATACTTGACAAACTGTCCTTCCACAAAACACAGCCTAAATTTGTCTCTGCCCTTTTCACACTGAGGACATGACAGCAAGGTAAGCTGCAGCAGATGGCCAAATAGAATTCCTATTTTCACTGACTGCTAATTAGAGCCCTAACCACAGCTCACCTTTAATGTCAGCCACAGACTGCTTTTAGCACAATTAGCCTAATGGGGTCTGGGCCTGTGAGCAGCCTGTAATGTTTAGCCCGGATCAGGTGTTGATTTGGGGTTGATGTATGTTAAAATAAAGGACAAGAGGGGTCTATTGCATGGCAGATCCATTTATTGCCACAGCTGATCGAGGCTGTAACCATGATTACCCAGAGAAATGATTTAATTGGATGCATTAATAATTGAACTAATTAGCTCCCATGTGTCTTGCAAATGAAGAAGAAACTCTGAGCTTCACTTGCACCTTGTCAGCTGATTAATTAGTCTGTTGATTGTTAGCTGTCTTGATGGCCTATATGCAGTCAGAAGACAGGGCAGATAATGAGGGAATAGTCGATGGTGCTGGTTAATTAGTGTGACCTGATCCGGGGGCCATGTTTGAACAGTTGTTTATGCCACAGTGTCTAATGAGGAGGATTTAGAGCCGGATGAGGCTGTGGTGTTGTTTATGCACTGGGGTGAGTCCCCAGTGAAAATCACTATAGGCCTATATGTTGCAAGACTGTATCTACAGGGACTAATAATGTGTCTGTGGCACTCAATATTAACTTTAAATAACAACCTTACTATATTTAGTAGTGTTTTCATTCATAAAATCTCAATAAAATGACTTTCAAGGGCTATTTGGGATCCATCTAACATTCAAGGCCTTGAAGTTTATTTAAAGACTATCTATAGTGTTGTTATATGTATTCTTACAATATTCAGCACATGTAGCAGTTGTATTGTGGGCCATACAGTATATTACTTCATTGAAGTGTATTAGTATATAGTAATCTGTGCCTTCTTTCTAGTATATTTGTGACTTTCTTAACATTTAACTACAAGCACCTACAGCCTGTTGCAGTTCTGCTGGTGAGTTTACAGTAGCTTTCAGGGCTTCTTTGCTGTGTTTTCTGCCACTATGTGCACATGCTATTGCAGTTTTAATCTCATTTTCCTATATATTATTACAGCCTAATAACCCTGATCTTTATCTATTTTTTATTTTTTTTACACAGTTATATGCTTGACATCTTAGCAGTCTGTGTTTAGTTGGATACAATCCAGTCAGGAGCTGAAGCATTAGTAAATGATTTCACAATAAAGGCAGAACAACTTTTAAACTCCAAACATAGGATTCCTTACTCCAAAGTGGTGCCGCATACTGTGTGACACTCTACGCTAATATTACTTTGCACTAAGAAAACAAGACATATTCACGCACAAGGGATCAACACACTGAACACATAGGCTACGCCACACACACAAACGCGTAGGGGTACACGCATGCACGCGCGCGGAAAAGGCGCTGCATCTGTCGTGCTGAAAAGCCACGGCTTTGACCACACGGCGCCCTGGAGATAATTGGTGTCCTTGGAGTTGAATAAGCTCATTCTGAATCACCTCAGGCTCGGGCTGTCCTGGTGTGTGACAGTCTATTGAATAATTGATTCAGAGAGGGAGGGGGCGGTTACTATCAGATCTGAGCATAATGACTTTATATAATTAGCACGCAGTGTTGAAAAAAACACTGGGAGTTTTTTGCTGAGAGAGAGAGAGAGAGAGAGAGAGAGAGAGGGAGAGAGGGGGAGAGAGCGCAGAGCTGTGCGGAGGCTCAGTCTGGGGAGAAGAGCTTATTTGAGGGCAGCAGCCGCAGCCTGTGCAGATGCAGACATGCTTATGCACTGACATCAGCTAAGATAAGGCAAAACCACAGTTAATTTGAGGACATCGTTCCTCTCGGTAGGGTGATTACGCTGTGTTCACCCATCCACAGCCTATTTTTACGCAGAAAGAAAGCGAATCTATGGCCGTTTCTCTTGGCTTTCTTCGGGGACTATGAGGAGCGGAGTTCAAGTTTGAGCGACGGGTTGAGACTAATTTGTACAGGGAGTCTAAATCCTCTGTGTTGCTGCTCTGTGAAGTGTCATCTTATAACCTGACGAAGAGAGGGTGACATTTTTCCTGCTGGACTGTTGTCGTCTTCCAGAAGGATGGTGCTGGACAAGGAGGAGAGTGAGTTCTGCTGCATGCACTGGCCTGTAATAGCTACACCTGTAGTATCTGCTGTACTATAAAGTGTACTTTTATGATGCTTACTTTGTTGTCATATAGATATTTTCATGTTTTAGCAATGATGTCATAGTTTGTACTATACTGTCCTATATCCATGCACTCTTCATGTTTGTAAATGGAACGGACACAAAGAGTAGAAACACCTGTCAGTAAAGTGTAAACGTTTATGACAATCTCGCTTGATAAACGTAATTATAAACTTTGTAAAGGTAGAATTTCTCTATTGAATTGCAACAGATGGCCCAGGTGTGTTTAATTAAGTGGCCACCGAGTGTATATGTGTACAGTGTCCCTCTTAGTTTTACTATATTTTAACTACACAGTAATATTTTGAGGATTGGAAAGAACTGTATGCCACTGTGCAGCAGAAATGAAGATAGCAGAAAACATTTTTCATGTCCAACATAAGTCTGAAATAGTTATATTAAAATGGTTCCCAGTCATTGTCATAATAACTCAGTGAACTGATAAGGTTTACTCTTTGCTGCTCCTCCCTAACATTAAGTTACATGAAGGAAGTTTACACAACCCATTAAAGTTTTTATTATGGCCTGTAACATTTTCCCATCATGTTGCTTCTATAACAGACAATATTTATAATTAATGTTGCATTTAAGGTGAACTAGCAAGTTATTATTTCATTAGATATCACTATAATTTAGTGACATTCACTGCAGTGACTATAGTGTCTGTGATATTTAGCAGTAAAACTAGAATGACTAAAGGTTTGTTTGTTTGTAGCGTCCATCAAGTAATTTTTACCTCATTTTTATTGATGGAATTCTTTGCTTTTCACATGTTCCCGAACTCTCGAACTCTGACTCGGCCTTTTGTTGCTCTTCTTGGACTTAGGTGTGTCTCTCGTGCCCCTCCAGTCCAGGGAGAAGCCGAGGGGCTGTGCTGGTTGCAATGGGAGGATCCGGGATCGCTTCATGCTGCAGGCACTGGACAGGTTCTGGCATGAGGACTGTCTGAAATGTGTCTGCTGCGACTGCCGCCTGGGCCAGGTGGGCTCCACCCTCTACACTCGGGCCAACCTCATCCTGTGCCGCAGGGACTACCTGAGGTAACCCTAACCCTTCTACAGGTGTTTCTGGACTGTAAGAGAGGAAGGAAAGTGAAAGAGGAACACATCTAAACCCACTCTGAGTCCTTTGGCCAATTTTAACCCTCTGCATGTCAAACAGCCAAACCTCTCAGGACTGTGGTACAATATGCAAAGAGTATATTGAGTAAAAGTACATTGATTTTAATTTTAACCAGGTCTTCGTTTTTACACTCTTTAGAATGTGATTCTTTATACAAACTTAAACCTGGCTGAAACAGCTCTTCTGAGAATTACACCCTCATTTTCTTGCCTGTCAGGTCAGCAGGA